GTTTATATTTGATGTGAATAAAAGTTATTTTACGACATTGTTTGCTTTCATAGATAATTCATGGTCCCGGCAAATAAAGCTCGAGCGTGGGATTAGCCATTCAAAAGAAAGCGCGGGAATCGAACACTCGCGGTTATCCGGCTTGTCCCACAAATGCGTTCGATGTTTCGTAAATAACACAGTCTTTCAACGATTTTTCGATAAAATTTGCGATAAAATTTCTTTTTCTTTTGTTAAAAGCATTTAAGTCTATCTGAGAAAGTCCTAGAGAAAGGATTTAATTATTTTGTACGCGTTTAAAATAAACACTTCGTGCTTTTGTACTTTTGCATTTTTTTAGATAATTAATTTTTGACTTTGGAAATAGAATAAATCGTGCCACATGTATAACTTGGCTGGCTAGCGCTCATCTGTTTCACAAAACGAAAACCATCAAAATTTCGCCCTCTGATTCGACTTTTTTTGTTGGACAACATGGCTGCCATTACCGGTCCTCTATTCTGATTGGTCAATCCTATCCGGAGCTATGAATTATACGAGAAACACAAAATATTAATGGGGTTCAGTTAATTCATCTCTTCGACTTAAACGCCAATAACTTTCGAACTAAGACTAGAGTACTGCAACTTTCGGACTTTTCCTATTATTCATCTGGTCAGATTTGATCTAATTGTTCGAACGGTTAGGCAGCATTGAATATGCTTCCAATTTTATCTTCTCGTGTTTTTTTAAAAAATCTTTTCAACACTCGAAGATTAAGCCCTTATCTGCGCGCGTTAATGATGTTTTTTTATATTTATCCGAAATATTTTACTCCTATAAGATCCTGGATGTCCCACAGCTGGATATCAACTAAGAATATAAATCTCTATTCGGAATTTGATATATATTTTATTTAAAACCTTATTGTGACCCTCGTTGAAATTATAGTAATTAAATGGCAAGTTTTCACACCTGACAAATATCTTACCTCTCTTTGTGTGTTTTTGATGACAAAATCAGTCAGCTTTTCAAACGATTGCTTTTCTGAAGTAATAATCAAATTACCTGCAGAGATTTAGATATAAAACTGACTCAATTGATAAGAATAATATTGTAGTTTAATATATGCAGTTAAACAGGCTATTATCAATTTGGACAGAAAAAAAATTGGTTGTTGAAACTTGTGACCGTGGTGAATGTACACTGTCCTGCTCCGGAAAACTAGATTTGCTAGATTTGCCACAAACTAAATTAACCTAGTAAATAGTATATGTAACAAAGAAATATTCTCTAGAAACCAATGAAATAATATTGTTGATTTGTAGTTTCAATGCATTTTTTTGAGTCGGAACTTTGACTTTCAAATATGGTTTCCCCGCTCGAGTCTGGATCAAGCATCACACGACTCTAATATGAGCTATTCCATTTGTTTTACCTTATTTTTTTCATTTGGCAAATACGTCAATTCAATCAGCAGTCCAAACAGGTTTCGCTATTCTTGACAAAGTTAAAGTTTAAAGATAAATACATTTCATTGCGATGAAAACAAATTTCAAATTTCAAATTTCATTGCGAGGATAACAAATAGTATCTTAGTGACGACTGACTCAGATCGTATCATTTAATTATCCAATAAGATATTGCAATTTCTAAATATTTCGTGCATGAATTTTTTCTATTTTTTTGTTTTTTTTTCCTTTTTGATTTTTTTTTTCGCAAGGATTTTGTAGCGTTTAGATATAACATATAAATTATATAGCTTTAAAAGTGTTATTCAAGCCCAACATAGTTGCCTCAACCCATACTGCTTCGATAATGCTGCAGCTTTTAATTAAACGCTCGAGTCTGGATCAAGTACTAGCTCCTCCTAGTTTTCTCAAAGATTTAATAGGATATTTTTATATTAAACTTTAGATTCGTCTTATTAGATATCAACAAAACCAAGGTTTAACAATGCATCGACATACTTTGCTCTCTCATATAGTATACAATAAATCAATCAGCCTTGTTTAAAGTGTTTCCACATACTAGTTAACGTAAATTATAGTACGTTGGGCAGGACACGTGTCAATGATGTATGATAAATTTTCAGTTTAATGGTAGAATTCCCAGAAAGCTTTGAAGACTCGACGAAAAAAAAAATAAGAATGGATCTTGCTAACTAAGAACTCTATTTCAAAGTGAAATGAAACATAAAAAGAAGTGATCATTTTGATATTAATCTAAGGATACCGCTACTTCGTCCACTTGCATAGTGATAGCACCAAGAAAAATATATATCAAGCATTGACAATGGACACCTACGTTTGTCATTTTCTTCGTGGATTTTAGAGCAGCTGAGCGAAATAGATTTATCCATTGTACCACCTTGATGTTGCTGCAACTCCTTAGTAGACTGTCAACAGAACGCACAGACTATGTGACGTTGAACATCCATAAATATTTTATTAGTAAACAGCTGGATACCATAATCACGTGATCACACGACTCTAATATGAGCTATTCAATTAATTTGTATGAATTTAATTTGTAAACAGTTGTTTACACTCATACCCGTCTTTTACTCGAAATTTGGACAACCCTGAAAATAATGCAAACTGGTAAACGCCTCTGGTTTCAAGGCTTTACCATTGTCGAGGTCGTAAAATTTGAGAATGAATTGCCAACCGTTGAGTCATGACATTTTGGGATGTCGGAACTACGCGAAATCATCATAGTCATTTCTAATAGAAATGACTATATGATGAAAATAGAATTAGAAAAAGAGTAGATATAAAGTGAGGGTTCAGCAACCGGGAGGATGGGAGGATGGGAGGATGGGAGGATCTCGAACGCTGATTTGTCCAAAACCTTTTAAACAATAAGCGTGACGTAAGACGTCACGCTACGGTTCAGGGGCTCTAGGGAACGCAGTTGGAGTCACGCAGTTGGAGGAAGTGGCGTCACAATTCAAAACGAGGGTACCGGAAAGCATGTTGGCGCTATGACGTCATGAGCTTACTCAAGCATGTCCAATTGAGACACGGTACACCGATTACAATTTTAACAAAAGAACTSAATACTAATTATCGACAAAGTACATAAAATAATCCTTTTATTGTTTCTTTAACAGGTTTAGTTGTGTGATTTTACAAACTCTTTCTACAAACAATAAATTTATTTCGCGACCCGAAAAATAGTTTATTTCTTAATACAAAATTAAGGAAATGTATGAATTACTTCGAAAACTCTAACAAAATATTTTTTTAGGGTTTAAAAACCCCTGAACAACTAGGAATATAGAAAAACAGAGAGATTATCAAAGCAGGTCTAAATTTTGTAAATGTATAATTAGTTATCGTTTGAGAGAAATACAGTTCAATTTTATACTTCTAAATCATAAACATCATTTAACTATTTCTTGTCTTCAATAGTTTGATACTATGGCCATAGTCCTTCTGATTTTAAGTTTCATTCTTGACGCCTCGATTTTGTTAGATTGCCAAGCGGTATATATTTGTCATCGGTACACAGTTATAGCTTCATCCACGTTGGAACTTTACTCCTCCTTTACAAAGTTTAGATTCTGTCTAGTCTTAAAAAAAACGCAATAAATGTGGAACAACGTTTTATTAATCCTCTTCAGCTTGTAGACCTGTAACTCCTTTTGAGCGCTGTAGTTCTTGTATATTTTTCTCAAGTTTCTTATGCTTTCTCGCTTGTTGTTTTTTTTGCTCTGAACTGGCTCCTTGGAATAGAGTATTGATACACAAGTCTTGTAGATGTGTTACTCAAACTCGGTAAATCATTTTGAAGTGATTGAACGTCAGAAACCTTCCCATAGTTTCAATAATGATTGTTCTGCTTCTGATTTCCTCTATTATCATGATAAATGACAACTTTTACTCTTGGTTGAAGCTTTGATTCCTGAAGATATTTTCGTCTCTCGGCAGARTTTAAACCATGAACATCATGTAGATGATTTGATAGCTTCACAAGGTATCTAGCACCACAACCCTCTATGGGACAATCTCGGCAGTATCTCCTAACCATGTTTATTCCTAAATGCTTTGAGTAGAAATGATAGCATTTCGTCAATGCCTTCTCCTTTATACCACTCAGGACTGACAGGATTAACAAACCATATAGTATTCTTATAATAGACATTTTTCATAAACTCTAAAATTGCGCCAATGTCCAACCTAAATAATCAGTAATTATTTCGACAGACTTTGCGCCAAAAACTTAACACTTAAATGAACTTGTTTTCATCTTCGACGTCGTTCGCCAAGAAATATTGAGAGAATCGTTCCGAATAGTGGATCCATTTTTCGTTAGTAGGGTCAAATTCTTCGATTTTACCGTAAACTGCAATTTTTAGTCATCCTCGTCGCCAAAATGACCTGTATCTGACTACTAGTAAGACAGAAAAGTAAACCTCGTGGCTAAGTCCGCCATGATTTATTGTGCGAAGTAAAACACTGCCGCAGGGCAGCATGGGAATTTACACAGGGAGCCCAATACACAACACGAACAAATTCCCAAAGCTACAAGTAAAGACCTTGGTCGGATAAATTCTACTTCTAGTTTCGAATTGCACTTGACAAAAAATGTGGACGTCAAAACCATGTTTACATACTCTGATACAAAAACGGCCGTCAGCCAATCAGAACGCTCGTAGTATTCAAGTTATTTTATAATATACGGTATAAAATACTCCCTGAACGTGCTAATCATACGAGTGTAGATAACCCGATATTCCAAGACACCTTAAGTACCCCTATTATATAACAAATAACAGAACTTGAAAGATTTGTTATTTGTGAAATTTAGATGAATTTCTTACATGACCTTGTATTTTTCGACGTGTTTACATTAGATGTCTAGACTGTTTTGACTAATGTAGTTACGTGTGTGGTATAACGCCTATTGCTAAGACCACCATCACCTTAGTTTTGACTAGAAAATGATGGAAACCGGATATCGGATTACATTTAGAATTGTTAAGGAGAAAAAAATTCAATAAATTCAATATATTGTAATAGTGTCCGCAGAAGGCTGGACCGAGTCAGTGTTTAGAGTYAGTCGAGTGTTGTTGTAAAGTTCGGGTTCTTAGTGTATAGTTCTGGTTTCTGATCGTAATAAAGTAAAGGAAAAAAGGATCACAACAAAACGTTACAACTGGTGGCAGCGGTRAAGTCATGTCACAAGAAAACGAAGTACAATTTGGGCCGCTCATCGACTTGGATGGCGAATTTAACCCATTGGCCGCCACGGCTACCTCACAAAAGAATACATTAATGGACTCACCACCACATTCTACTCCAATAAAATACCATGACATCGTTGAAGGAAGCTCACCTAGTTCTCAACAGCTGATGGAGTCGATTAGTGAGCTGAAGGACTTAGTCCTTGGAGTCGGTCAACAAAGTCAACATGCCGAAGACCAGTTTCGTCAAATCTCAGCGCGACTTGACCAGTTTKACTCAAGGCTTTCTTCAATGGAAAAACTTAACTCGAGAGCCTGGGTCCATGACGATCCTACGAAGAGCAAAGAAAATRGAGGAGAAATGCCCCTGTTCAACGTCCAGAATACGTTTTTAACAAATGCTCCATCGCCGCCATCTTTGATTCATCCCAGTCCCGCGCGTCCAAGGGAAACACAGGCACCCCACAACGACAACAAGAAATTCATKGGAAACGCGGCAATTGAAGAAAAACCTAAAGTAAAGCCCAGTACCTACAATGGAAGTACTCCTTGGGAAGATTATCTGGCCCAATTTGAACTTGTAGCGGAAATAAATAAATGGAGCATGGCGTCAAAAGCCACCTACTTAGCTGTGAGTTTAACTGGTTCTGCGCAGGCTGTTCTTGGAGACCTCGCTCCTGAAGCTCGCCGAGATTTTTCTGAGCTTACAAGTGCACTCGCGGCAAGATTTGGAACTGAGAACCAACAGGAAGTCTTTCGTTCAGCCCTAAAGAATCGGTCAAGGCTGAAAGACGAAAAACTCCCAGAGCTTGCGCAAGCCATTAGAAGGCTCACACGTCAGGCATACCCCGAGGCTCCACAGCCGCTCCGTGAGACCTTAGCCCGTGATTACTTTGTGGACGCCTTAGTTGACGCAGATATGAGATGGAGAATTCACCAAAGCAGGCCTAAAACCCTAAACGACGCCCTTACTGTTGCTGTTGAGCTGGAAGCCTTCTTGGAAACCGGTCACCCCAGAAAACAAGTGCATGCCGTAGCTGTGGAGGAGAGTCCAGATCAAGGTGCTTCAGCTGCATCAGACCTCAAAGACATCAAGAGCCTTCTCCAAAAGCTACTTGATAAGCCACGACCCTATGGTCAGTACACTGGCTGTCACACCTGTGGTGATAAAGGCCACTTTCAGCGAGACTGCCCCAAAAGGAGAAACCAAGAAAGTCCAAAGCTTCCGGGAAACGAGAAACAGCCGGTCCCTCGGGGCTGAGCCCGGCTGACATCCAAAGCGCAAAGCCCCCAACGATCCCTATCAGAGGAAGTGCGTCTAGAGAAGGGGATGATGGGCTCTACATCAGTTGTTTTGTTAATGGCAAGCCTGTTAAGTTTTTAGTGGACACCGGCGCAAGTGTAACAATGCTAAAACATTCAGTTTATAAGGAGTTGTCGGAAGATCAATGCATCATCTTAGATAAAGAGAATCGAGTTATGCAGTTGGCCGACGGACGAACGCTTCCCTTCAGAGGGAAAAGTGACTTTTCTATCAAAATCGATACATTTGAGACAACGCATAACATTTTAGTAGCAGACATTGAAGTTGACGGAATATTAGGCATGGACTTTCTAGGACATCATCAGTGTGAGNTCTGTGCATGAGACGACTGGTTGTTCCCCAAGCGAGTTGATGTTCGGTAGGGAAATCCGACTTCCTGTAGATCTCATGTTTGGTGTTCCTAAGTCGGAAAAAGATCTTACGGACACTTGCGACTATGCACGTTCCTTACAGGATAAGATCCGTAAGGTGCATGGCTACGCAAGAGAGCACTTAACAATCCAAAGTGACAGGCAGAAGAGAAAGTACAATCAACGACTTAATCAGAAAACGTATGATCGAGGGGCACCAGTTTGGTTTTACAACCCAAAAAGGAAGAAGGGAGTTTCCCCTTGCTTACAGCTTCCGTGGGAGGGCCCATATCTTGTTATGAAGAGGATTAGTGATGTTGTGTACAAGATCCAGAAGAGTCCTCGATCCAAATCAAGAATCATTCATCATGATCGTCTCCGGCCCTACCATGGGGAGAAGACACCAACTTGGTTAGACGACGTTGAAGAAGTCCAGCCAGTTACAACGGACAGCCTCGGAAGACCTTCTTCGAAAAAGACACCTGACGAATGTCATGAAAGACCAGAGACCACGGAACCTAGCCTAGTTCGCAAAGATGAAAGACGCCCGGCAAGACTAAGAAAACCCCCTGTGTGGGCTAAGGACTATAAATTTTGACTTGTTTGTAATAAGGACACGGGACGTGCCCTTCTCTCAGAGGGGGATAGTGTAATAGTGTCCGCAGAAGGCTGGACCGAGTCAGTGTTTAGAGTTAGTCGAGTGTTGTTGTAAAGTTCGGGTTCTTAGTGTATAGTTCTGGTTTCTGATCGTAATAAAGTAAAGGAAAAAAGGATCACAACAAAACGTTACAATATATATTCAATTAGATAATATATCACGTTGTTCCTATAGATTATTTTATTCCAGAACAGAATCATAGGGACAGCTATGGTATTTAGAAATTCAGCATTACAAAACAAAACAATAAAAGATATATATAATTTGATTTGGGATATTAACTTAAGAGCTTTATTGATAATATTTTAAAACCTCGAGAATATTGTAATTTCATACAAGAGTCATTTGATATCTACTCGTAATTACCTTTTACTAGAATTTTAAGGATATGTCATTTATGATAAGTTTGTTTATCGTGTTATTAGAGATCTGCTTCTTTAGATCAACTTTTTTGACATGTCATTTGAGATTATTTTCCTGTAATTTTCTAGAGTGTTTACTTATTTGCTGATAGCTTGAAGGACCTGTCTATCATCCTAAGCTAGTGTCCGATGTTGCATTAATGGTTACAAAGTTCTTAATATGAAATTAGTAATGCTCTCTTTTATGCTCGAAGTCTAATAACATTTAAGAGCGACTGTCCAGAAAAATCGAGCAAAATCGAAAATATCCGGCCACAGTGAAAAATTCAAATTCCTTGAAACTTAGTTTCTGGACACCTTTCTGTGAGCCTACTAACGTGGTCTAATCGGTTTTTTGATCTACGTTGAGAAATTTGAGTTTTTGAGCAAAATTGGTTTTACCCCGATTTGGTCTAAAACTAGCATATGAGACCGCTAAAACATGCAACTTTTTAAAAGTTATTTCTTCAATCGATTTAATTATTTTTGCGCAATTTTTTTACATAATCCGAAAGAATACATTCTAAGGAGTTGCCCGGAATCGGTTTTGGCTTTTCAATGTATTTTTAACGGGGAGGAAAAACGACTTTTGCTTGGCCGGTTTTCAAACCTTGATTTGAGTTGAAATTTCCGAACACATTTTTCTCCATGTGGCCATTCTCCAATTTTTACCAAACTCACCCTGAATGAGGTTGAAATATCAATATAAACCGAGGTAGAAAAATATTTCTGGGTTWTTACACTGGTAGTGCGATAGGAGCGATTAAATATCACGATTTTTTGACTTGCAATATGCAAATTAGCAGTTTGTGTACATTTACTCAAATAGATCATTCGAATGAATTTTTTTCCTCAAACATCGAAGTCAACCAAATATATCATCTGATGGAATTAAATGAAGTAATTTCTAGTATATTAGACACTTTCCAACAACTAAAGCGATTGTATCTTGTCCTTTAGCCCCATATTTCCTGTTGACGGTTTCTGTGACGATCCTAATAGTTGGTCACTCAAAAATTCTCGAAAGGGAGATATTTGTATGGACAAAATTTGTGGCYTTGCATGCCAAGAGCTAGCATTGTTATAGCACTCTGCCAACGCTCCCATTAACACTTCGTCAACACTGCCTCATCATCTTTTGACATCGCAGTAGAGACATCTCTCCATAGCTGRTAGCTTACGGCACAGGTTGTATATTAGTGGGGGTATCAGGGACTGGTGCATTTTTATTTCCCTGGACAGATTGTCAGTTTGGCCCTGAGCTTCCAAATGCACAAAATTACATGACTCATTCAAACTGCAAACATAAATTCTGAAATTCACATGACCCACCCATTCTTATGAAACAAAATACTATATTTTCAAAATATCGCAATTCACAATGTATTCATAGAGCATATGAAAAAGAGAGTGGCTATCGTAACGCCTTTGTTGATAATTTTGTATCCGTTGAAAGTACATATTATAATAATAAAGACCTCAAAGTTTGATTGCTCTAACATTCAAGGACCAGAAATTACAGGTGTTTGAAATAGCAAAGACTTTAAAGTGAAAATCAGCATTGACGCAAGCCTTTTTACATTTCAAATGCTCGTAACTCTGCTGATATTCAACATTTCAAACTAAACCTCTGCCAATTTACTAGTTTAGATGTATTCTTTTATATGGTAAAAACAGATTTTGAAAAAAAACATTTAATGTGCTCATTCTCAGTCTTCTGCTCGTTTTTCATATGGTCAATAGTTGACTGATTTCACACTAGAAAAGCCTGAACGGGATGAGTGGGATGAACTAAAAAAGGAACCCTTAAAAATCTTTATATAATTTTGTGAAGCCCCTCAGTAGAGGGGAGGGCTGTCTGATCCCATTTTCCAATCTATTTTTTGTCAAAATCCCATTCCCATCCCTCCCTTCTAATATATTACTGGTCCCTTAGAGCACTTTGTATTCCAGCAAAACTAAAGTACCGCTTAAACTCAGCAATATTACGCTTTCNCTGCCAATTTACTAGTTTAGATGTATTCTTTTATATGGTAAAAACAGATTTTGAAAAAAAACATTTAATGTGCTCATTCTCACTCTCATTCTTCTGCTCGTTTTTCATATGGTCAATAGTTGACTGATTTCACACTAGAAAAGCCTGAACGGGATGAGTGGGATGAACTAAAAAAGGAACCCTTAAAAATCTTTATATAATTTTGTGAAGCCCCTCAGTAGAGGGGAGGGCTGTCTGATCCCATTTTCCAATCTATTTTTTTGTCAAAATCCCATTCCCATCCCTCCCTTCTAATATATTACTGGTCCCTTAGAGCACTTTGTATTCCAGCAAAACTAAAGTACCGCTTAAACTCAGCAATATTACGCTTTCAGTAGAACACTGGTCAAGCATTGAAATCTGTTTTTGGGATCGAAACCACAATGACCACCCGCAAGAGCTTGGAAAGAGCACTACTCCATGAGTGATSTTGATGCGAGTTARGAYAATTCTAAACTAAAACATTACCTGGTATACCTTTGTTTTTAGGGGTGTTTCATTAGAATCTTGAGAAGATTGGGAGGTTTTGTCCCTAGGGAATAATTTTTTTGGGGGACTTCAGGAACGCGCGTTTCTAATTGTTTCGGTAAATTTACAAAAATTCTTTTTTCAAAATATTAACAACACTGTCAGTAATGAAATTACATTACAACTTTTTATTGCTAGTCTTTGTGTAATAAACCTCGACAAACACTTAAAAAACGCGCCTTAATTAATGATAATAATAAAAACTGACTTAAATTCCTTTATAACGTTTGCGCTTTTACTTATTAGCATATTTACTGCTTTAAAAAGCTGTATTTTGCTATAGCAATCATGTTAAATAATAATATAGTTTCATTTCGAGAATTTTTGAGTGGCCATCTATTGGAATGATCGTCACAGAAACCGTCAGAAGGAAATATGTGGCTAAAGGTCAAGATACAATCGCRTTTATTGTTTGAAAGTGTCTAATTACTTCATTTAATTATTATTAGCAATCAAACTTTGAGGTCTTTATTATTATAATATGTTCTTTCAACGGATACAAAATTATCAACAAAGGCGTTACGATAGCCACTATATACATATACATTGTAAATTGCGATATTTTGAAAATATAGTATTTTGTTTCATAAGAATGGGTGGGTCATGTGAATTTATGTTTGCAGTTTGAATGAGTCATGTAATTTTGTGCATTTGGAAGCTCAGGGCCAAACTGACAATCTGTCCAGGGAAATAAAAATGCACCAGTCCCTGATACCCCCACTAATATACAACCTGTGCCGTAAGCTATCAGCTATGGAGAGATGTCTCTACTGCGATGTCAAAAGATGATGAGGCAGTGTTGACGAAGTGTTAATGGGAGCGTTGGCAGAGTGCTATAACAATGCTAGCTCTTGGCATGCAAGGCCACAAATTTTGTCCATACAAATATCTCCC